AGGTTTTATATGGGATACTAAAAGCTCTTCTTTTGCCTTACTTAATCATTCAAATATTGATAATAGAATATCAAAATTCAGGGCAATAATATAAACTCTTATTTAGTCTGGAATCCACTTTGCTCATCCAAGCTCTATCGTCCAGCTATATAAAACATTAGCGGTTCCGGTACTTACGTATGGTCTTGAACTTTGTAATTATAAAGACATACTAATGCAAAAGCTTGATATATTAGGTAGGAATGCACTTAAGTCACTCTTTAATATTTCTAAACATAGCAAAATTTATATTCATTCTTTGTTTTACATCCAAGATGTATCAACAATTGTACAGCAAAACAAGTTAAACTTATTTATTCGCATATTGAGCAATAAAACAACCTCTGGTATTGTAAATTCGCTGTTTAAAGACCAAACCGCTAAGCACCCTTTTCTAGATGATGTCATAGGTTTATGCAATCGAAATGAACTCAATTTAGAGAGCTTAATGCAAAGCAAAAAAAAGTAAAAATATTGTGTTAAAAAATATAATTCCTAAAAAAGATCTTCAAAAGTTAAGCTATGCAATTTTTTTTTTTTTTTTTTTTTAAATTTATTTCGTCATTAAATGAATAATCTTTTACAATGTTTTTTTACAACATAAAAATTATAACATTAAAGTTTCGACCGGAGCTGGCAGAAGACATGATCTTATCATCCAGCCCCGTTAATAACTAAAAAATTTAGCCGATAAAAATGAAAAAGGAAAAAAGAAACTAAAGCAAGAACTGATTTTAAGAAGAAAAGAACTTAAAAATCAAATTATTATTTACAGAAAGAGAAAAAAAAAAAAAAAATTAATTATTTCTTCTCATTATTATTATTTTTTTTAATTCTCTATTTTATTCTACTTTTATTTTTATTATACACGCACGCACACACACATACGCACACGTACACAAATATATGTCCGTTCATATATACATACAAATCAAATAAATCTGTATTACATTCCATCTACAAATTGCGTAAGATATAATAAATATTGCATTTACAAATTACGTTATTATTATAAAATAAAATAATATCATACATGTTCTAAGTACCATACAATATAATTGTGATGTTGAGTCAATTTATAAGACATTAAATAACTAAGATTACCAAAAGTTTTTAATAATACGATAGTAATTGCTTTGTGTCAAAACCAAATAAGTGTTGTTTTGTTGCACGTTTAAAATGTTGAGTTGAATTTAAAGTTTTTATATTACTTGTTAAAAGCAAGTTCCATAACCGCGGCCCTCGGCAAGATATCGAAAAATCAGCTTGTTTTGATAATGTTTTTGGTATAATAAAATTATTTGTTGAGTATTTAGTTTTGTATTTGTGGTTTAAAGAAAAAAAATAAGTTTGGAAAATGCTTGGTAGCATACCATTTTTAAACTTAAACATGAAAATAAGTATATTAAGAATATTTATTTCATAGACATTAGGCACTCCAATTTCTCTTAGTAGTGGTCTGGCACTAGCGTATTTATTTGCATTTAATATCAAGCGAATTGCTCGTTTTACTTTGAAGGATAAGTACTTGCCCAGATAATGTTGCAGTAGCTATGTAGCTATGAATAAATGCAAAATAAATATTTTTTAAACAATTTGTGTTTAGGAGATGTTTTGTTTTATACATAATATCAATAATTTTTGATATCTTATTTTCTATTACTTTCATACGATTACTCCAGCTAAGATGTTCATTAAGAATTACGCCTAAAAATTTGATTTGAGTTCTGGAACTCATTGGAGCAAAAGAAAATATTCAAAGATATTCTTGAAGTAAATATTCCAAGATAAAAACTTATTTCTTGTCAAAAATGTAACTTTATAATAATTTACCTTGTATTATATACAGCGGGGGATTATAATAAATATATTATTGTTAAAAAGAAAGTTGTTTTACTTAGTGTTTTTTGAAATTTTTGTCTTGAAACAAGCGTAACTTGTCATTTTATGATATAAATTGTCTTTTACTTGTAAAGTATAAACTACTCAATAAATGTTATTGATTTAAGTTCAAATTGTTCTTTATACTAATACAAAACTCTTTATAAACTTTTATTTAATGAGTAAATATGGTTTAAAAGTTATAAAGGAAAAGTAAATGGGGTATTTTGGGTCATAGTTTGTTGAGTCTGTAAAACTTTTTTTTAAATATTTTTTTATATACGAGCATTCTATTATATGCAGTAAAAAGTGTTTTAAGGTTGATGATATAGGACCACCTTTATTCACATTAAAGAGACAACTTTTTTCTTAAATAAAAAAAGATTTTACATTCCAATTTTTATTTTCTTCAAAATTAATTAAAGGGGCGATCGTCCAAATAAGCTGCGGATGGTCTGGATGAAAACCTAAAAGAAGCTTAGTAAGAAAAAATTTGTTAAGTCTGTGCTCGCCTTTTTTATAGAATTTCACAGTTTTAGGATAAGAAGGTTTAAAGTATTGAACATTAATCGTTAACTCAAAACAAAGATTTGAGAAATATTTATTTTCTTCCACTTACTAAAAGTTATTGAAATAAAACAACTATATAAAAAATGAGTATAAAAAGGGTCGGTGTGGAATAGACTTACCATGACCCGTATTATATGGGTCTTAGTATTTCATTATTCTACTAGAATAATGAAATTAATTACAATCGGTATAAAAAACAGACTAAAATTAGTTACAATCGGTATAAAAATTAATTACAATCGGTATAAAAAACAGACTAGAACAGTCTAGTCTGTTTTTTATACCGATTGTAATTAATCAACACATTTCAAGCGGATATTTTAAAATATTATTTAGAATACCCACTTTGAATAAATAATCCGGCGTCTTATGATTCAACCGAATCCCTAATTTCAATTTAGAACCGAATATGAGAAATTTATTACACAACCGAAAATATTTACGAAAAAAATTAGAACCGAAAAAATTTCAATCGAATTTTCGATCGAAAGTCATTAATGGTTTTAGAACCGAATTTCATTAAAATGGTTTACAACCGAAAGTTACACTGTTATCAAACATTGTATATATATATAAATATATATATATATATATATATATATATATATATATATATATATATATATATATATATATATATATATATATATATATATATATATATATATATATATGTATATAGAAATATTTTAAAGAAATTTTAATTGTTTATTTTATTGTAAAACGACTAACTAAAAAAAAAAAAAAAAAAAAAAAATAGATTAAAAAAAGAAAGGATTTTGTAATTCGATCCAAATTTTTTCGGTTGTAAAATTCGGTTTAAAAACTTTCGGCGCAAGAAAGGATTATGTAATTCGATCCTGCAATGAAAGTATACTTTTCGGTTCTAAAGTTTTCGGTTGTGAAATATTTCGGTGATACTTTCGAGGATAAATATTTTCGGCTCTATCATGTGACACGAATAATCCGAACCGCTGATAAATAGCGGATCGCGCAACCACTATTGAAGTGCTTAAAACTATTTTAAGCACTTCAATAGTCGTTAATTATGTTGTAAATTTTTTTTTCATTACTTTAAAAGACAGACAATATGTGTAGTCTTTCTACAGCTTACTTAAAAATATTGAAGTAAGGAATAAGTATAAAAATGGGCAGTGTAGAATAGACTTACTTAGAGCCGTATTTTACTGATCCGGAGAGCTAGTTTTGAATTAAACTTAGAGAACTTCTCAATAAATTTATTTTCTTAAATTTAGGCAATTCAAACTCCTTATTCGAAAATGTACACAAAAATCCAGCTCTGTCTCTAACATTTCTTGATTTATTATTCACAGCATAATGCTTTTTTTTGGTCCCGCAGACCAAAAAGCAGCATTTTAAAAGCAAATTTGAAAATTTATATAAAAATTCCATAATTTTCTAAGATTGAAGCCTTGAATATTGAAGCCAAATATTGAGTTTTTTAATAAAAAAATCTAGGATTTAGCTTTCAAGGTAGACTATCTCCTTAAAATGTTGCTTATAAAGTTGTTTCAGCGTATTTACGCTATATATAAAGTTGCTATCTATAAAGTTGTTGAGCGTATTTATTCGACATTGCGTTTATGCAGATTTTCACTTTTCTAGTTTGTGTAAATACACGCGAACATTAAAAACACACCCATACGCCCATACACCCATACTATTAAAAAGAGTTTTAAGTTGCAAAAACAAAAACAAAAAGACGGTGGTGATTATTTATTAACATTAATTAGAACAGAATTTTTTTTATAACAAGAACTTTGAAATCAAACTAATAAACGTTTTCTTTATGGTATTAAAAGAATCGGTGCAAAAAGCGAAAAAAACTTTCAAATTATAAAAATGTATAAGACGAAGTTTTTGCATATGTGAAATTTTAATTTATTTTTTATTTAACTGTATAATACTTATATGTTTTATGAAGATAGCAAAGACAAGAAAGATTGAGTCTTATCAATGGAATAAAAACAAATTTTTATGAAGTTTGAAAAAGATATAAAATAATTCATAAAAGCAGATTTCAAAGTTAGTATAATTGAAATAACTTATTATTTCAAAGCAAACAACGTGAAAAAACTTTCAATTAAATAATATGCTCTAAATGCCTGAAGCCGATTTTCCAATCATATTTTTTTGGAAATTTCCGCGCAAAAAAAAATATGAATGGAGAAACGACTGATGAATAAACCAAAACTATGCAACTTTGTTAACATAGGTTTGGTTTTATATATATATATATATATATATATATATATATATATATATATATATATATATATATATATATATATATATATATATATATATATATATATATATATATATATATATATAAAACCAAACCTATGTTAACAAAGTTGCATAGGTTTGGTTTATTCTTAAGTCGTTTTTCCATTCATATTTTTTTTTGCGCGGAAATTTCCAGTTATAAACAATATATTTATAAAATTAAGTTATAAACAATTAAAAATTAAATAAAAAAACTTTACTTTTTGAATAAATTCGTATTAAAACATTTTGAAAAACTGATTATAAATAAACAAAGGTTTGCTAAGAAAAAACCATTAGGCAAAAATTACTTTTTCAAACTTAAAACAAGTTTTAAAATTTTTATGAACAATATAAAATAAAAAAAATTAAGTTTTTTTGTTTATTAAAAATTTTTGAAAATAAAAATGTTTGTAAAAAGGTTTAATTTGAAATATTTACATCATTTGTTATCTGTTTACTGCTCGCAGCAAACTTTGGTTTAATAATTGTGCTTACATGCTGTTTAAACTAATTCATGGAATTATAAGTTTTTGTTATTGTCAAATATGTTCATAATAAACATTAAATAAGTTATTTTTTTTATTTTTTGTTATGCTATTTTAACGTTTACTTTTCTAACTTAAGGTTGAATTTCACACTTGATCATTATTGTATTATCCATAGTTAACCCATGGTTGCTCAATATTCTATGGGGTATTATACATCCTACTCTTTTAGATTGTGACACTGGTTTTGTAAAATATTCAGGATTGTTTGAATGAGGATCAATAATAAAAGTTTTATGTTCTCTACTTTCGCTTTGATCTAGCAGAGACATTTTGATTGTCTTTGTGAACGGCCAATCTAGTAAATTATCGTATTCTCCCTTCATTATATGAAGAAATAAAGAGATACTTTTTCCTCTGTACTCACCATATCCATTCAAATAAATTTGCAAAAAGAGTTTGTAACCAAATGGAGCTGAATAAAACGGACTGCTACATATGTCTTGTTCTTTTGATGACTTGTGGTCTTTAGATATTCTGCTAGCTATGTTATCTATGGACCATATAAAGGCGTTATTCGAAGGTACTAATGTTGAAAGACATTTATTTTCAATGTTAAAAATGTCTTTTTCTAACTCACTAACACGTTTCTCCGTAGATTTAACTGATCTTTCAACAAACTCTCCACTACTTATGATGGAATCAAACAAATTTTTTAAATTATTGATTTTTTCTTCATGTTGACTAACAGTTATTTCAAGTAAGTTGACTTTGTCAACTGCTAATGAAAGATGAAGCTCTGTGGAAGAAATTGCATGATTTTTTTGTTCATCTTTTGTACCCTAAATTATATATATATATATATATATATATATATATATATATATATATATATATATATATATATATATATATATATATATATATATATATATATATATATATATATATATATATATATATATATATATATATATAGAGCCGGCGCGAGTAGGTGTCACGTGGGAGGGGGGGCTGCCATTACAACTTTTGACGACTAAAACAAATCACAAAAAAAAAAAGATCCTCGTTTTCCGAAATTTGCCGACTGCCATGACGACATTTGCCGACTGTCTAACCTAAATTGAAAGGGTCAACATTTGCCGACTAACTAGTCTAAAAGGGTCCAATTCGCCGACTAAGGGTCCAGTTTGCCTACTAAAAACCATTGATGGGGGGTGTCACACCCCCACACACACCACTATCGCGCCGGCCTTGTATTTATATATATATATATATATATATATATATATATATATATATATATATATATATATATATATATATATATATATATATATATATATATATATATATTTAAACTATTTAAAATGTATTCTACAAAAAGAGTGCTCAATGTTCTTAAAAGAACAGAGCAATTACAAATTAGTAGAAAATCACTTAGCAAAATTTTTACTCATTTAACACTTTGTTTCATCAATAAAGACTCATCAGAAATTTCTGATGAGTCTTTATTGATGATCAATAAAGACTCATCAGAAATTTCTGATAAGTCTTTATTGATGAAACACAGTGTTAAATGAGAAAAAATTTTGGTAAGTGATTTTCTACTGATATATATATGTATGTATATATATATATATATATATATATATATATATATATATATATATATATATATATATATATATATATATATATATATATATATATATATATATGACTCATGGGTATGATCTAAAAGAAATTGTATAAAAAGTACAAAAAAATGTAATATGCTTGTAGCGGAAGTTGAACCATAAACTGTTAGTTTTTCATTTCGGTGCTCTAGACGATTATGCCACATACGTTGTGTTAAACAAAAATATATGTATGTATATATATATATATATATATATATATATATATATATATATATATATATATATATATATATATATATATATATATATATATATATATATATATATATATATATATATATATATATATATACAGTCATGTGCATGAAAATAGCAGTGGGAGAAAATTATTTATAAAATACATTTAATTTTTTTACTGATGGTTAATTTTGTATATTTTATTCTCTAAATATTTTCTGTTAGGGTTTTTAAATATAAAGAGGTTGGCAATATTGCTGTTTATACATACATGTATCAGAATTTAAATTAAATTATAAAATTTTGCTTTATTAACTGTGCGTTATAATAGCAGTGAATATACACTTTATTTT